AAAGTTATTATACTGTTCAGAAAAAAGTCGTGTGAATGAACAAGTGAAAGTGGGTCTTATAGGCTTTGACATCTCTTTTAGGACAGTACACATACGGCACACTATACTGTATACTAAGTCTTTGGTACGCGTTAAAGATGCAACATCGTCGTCACTACCTTCAACTACCTTCTCTTCCCCAACTATATAGCAAGTGCCTACAAAAATAACTTAAAATATCTTAATTATCTCGTTTGACATTGGCACAACAATACTTCCACAACTATATATTTTTGAGGTTGTATGTGTGTGTGTTTCGGTTGTATGGACAACCGAAACACACACACACACACACACACACACACACACACACACACACACACACACACAATGTAATTTTAGATTCTGATGTTTTGTTTATCTGCCAAGCTACATCACCTCATGACGTGTTTACAGTGTCATTTTCTTCACATAACTTAAGTAACGATTATATAAATTAATGAGCCTAGCATCCCGCCACTAATGTTGCCGTCGTTAAGTGTGTTGAACACATCGTTGAGTGTGAAGCAGCGCGACTCGTCCCTTTTACCCTGTCTTTAAGTGTTCCTTTACTGAGGTGATGAAAGAGTGGACAGTGATTTCCACGTACAGCTTTGAGATGAATGACTAGTGAATGAGTGAGTGGTGCGAAGTGTGTGAAAGTGGTGTGAGGTGAACGGTACCAGGGTCGCTGGGATATCAACATGCTCGCCGACTACTGTTGGTGTCTGAAACGGGACGCCCCAGACACCAACCACCAAAGAAATTCTATGGGACAGCCATTTATGCATGTCTAACTGTAAAGGCATCTATGTAGTTGACATATTTTGGTCCTATGTGTTGTGGTTACATTTCTTATGATATATTTGCATAAAAATTTTGACATCATATTTAAGAATTTCGATTTTTTCCTAATTCCCATAGCATAAAAATCTGACCTGGTTGGGCAAAATGAATGGCATTTTTGGAATCAGCACGCAAAATACATAAAGAATCAGCTAAGAAACCAGGCACCTCATGAATTTTTTTTTTCAAATGCAGCCCAGTGTAATAATAATAAAGAAGTGGCTACTTGGCCTGGGAACAGTTGTGACGAGCTGGTGTGCTCAGAGGTCGTATTCTCGACTAATTCACTCAAGCCTTGTGAGGTTAATGATTTATTGAATGCCGACTATTTCCACTTACATTAGTTCACTACCGTATATGTTGGTAATACAACAAGTTCTGATATAAATGTACAAATGCTTTATGTAAGTAAGACATATAAGTCTATAAGAGACATATAGACCTTGTAAATAATTACACATGTAAATATTATGCAATGTCGTTACTTACACATACATGATCACTTGATACAGCTGTCAACTATACTGTGAAGATTTTTCTGTGAGGCGGTTACAATATTCCCGTGTCATTCTAAACGGTTACAATACAGTGTATTGGTTTTGTATTAATACAAGATGAACAGCACACAGACAATGATGCTTTTAATTCCTTTACTATATCTACCACGAATGTCAATAACTTTCATAAATATAAATTCGTATAACGAGAGAAAAAATAAAAGATAGCCAAAAAACTAAGTCTTTCACATTTAAAATGAAGATAACTTTAATTCATAGTAACCTTTCAATAATTTGTTTCATAATATGAGATACTGTACTGTATATACCTACTGTGTAATGCTACAACGGCACATGAATTAGCACACCACCAGCTCGTCACAACTGGTTTTCGGCGAAGTAACCCCCAGTCAGCCCCGTCGAGAATTCCCGGCTAAATAACCATTGTATAATAATAATAATAATAATAATAATAATAATAATAATAATAATAATAATAATAATAATAATCCTGTTTATTTCTAAGACGTATTTACAACTAGATTTCGGAGTAGGTCCATGTGTGTGTTCTTGCGTGCGATCATTTGTAAATACCATTAGGTGTTCATGCTTGTGTGGCTGACTATCCTTGTGTGTGTGTGTGTGTGTGTGTGTGTGTGTGTGTGTGTGTGTGTGTGTGTGTGCTTAACTCGTCATTCTTTACGACGCTAACTGTGGTGAGGGGGTGTAAAAGGGAGGAAAGGGGAGGGAGATGCCATAATGCTAGAGCTGTGAGACAGACGGACCCCATAATATCATGTTGCAGGTGACTTCCTTAATTACTGAGGTGTTCACGTTATGATGCATCACTGTCATTTAACAACTAAGGCTGTTATGGCTGCGTTTTAATAACTTAGAAAATAAAGCTAATCATCAATAACTAGTACTTCTCGACGTCCTTCTCCATCTCCACTCCTCTTCCCCCTCTTCACTCTCACTCCTCCTCCTCCTCCCCTTCTTCACTCTCACTCCTCCCCCTCCCTCTCTTCCTCTCCTCCTCCCCCTCCTCCTCCTCCTCTTCTCTTCACTCTCACTCCTCCATCTCCCTCTCTTCACTCTCACACCACCTCCTCCCCCTCTTCACTCTCATTCCTCCTCCATCTCCCTCTCTTCACTCTCAATCCTTCTCCTCCCTCTCTTCACTTTCACTCCTCCCCCTCACTCTCACTCTTACCCATCTTAATGTTGACGTTACAATACCTGACTTCGCTCAGATAAGATTATTAAGCAGGTAGATTAGATTAACAACTACACTAGTCACCAACAGTCATATATTAAGCGAGATACAAGTAATGAGTTAAAGTACATGCATGTCCATTTAGTTATATTTTCAACCTTCCAAAACACAATTATTTTTCATTATTCATTCAGGTTTATGGCTATACAGTACATGTTTGTTTTTGTTTTTTTAACATATCAGTATAAAATCACTTTGTTCTAATCCTGCTATATAAAGTAAAACATAATCAAATATATACACTAATACCGGGATGAGTGTAAAACTATGTAAATTAACCCTGTAAAAATATGTAAGTAATCTGAGTGTACAAAAACTTAGGTATAGGTTCACGATATTCTTCTTGAAATAAAATTCACGAAGAAAACGTTTAAATAACTTCTGTTACAAACGACAGAGAAGACGCAGTTGAATCGACCAGCAAGAAGAGGTGGGCGAGAGAGAGAGAGAGAGATAGAGAGAGAGAGAGACGGTCGTAAATATGAGAATGTTGTGAGAGGAAAGGTCGTAAATGAGAGAGAAGACGTAGTAAGAGAGAAGAGGTCGTTAGAGTGAGAGAAGAGGTCGTGAGCGAGAAGAGGTCTAAGAGAGAGAAAGAGGTCGTAAGCGAGAGAGAAGAGGTAGTGAGCGAGAAGAGTTCGTAAGTGAGAGAGAAGAGGTCGTAAGAAAGAGAGAGAAGGTTGTAAGTGAGAGAGTCGTGAGAGAGAAGAGTTCATAAGTGAGAAAGAAGAGGTCGTAAGTGAGAGAGAAGAGGTCGTGAAAGATGAGGTCGTAAGTAAGAGAAGAGTTCGTAAGGGAGAAAGAAGAGGTCGTAAGTGAAAGAGGAAGTCGTAAAATGAGAGAAAGTCACACGTGTAAGAGAAGGTCGTAAACGAGGGAGATAGAGAGAGTCGTAGTGAAAGAGGTTGTGAACGAGAGAGCGAATGTCATAAGTGAGAGAGAGAGAACACCATAATGGAGATAAAGACAGAGAGAGTGAGAGAGATTGACGTAAGAGAGATAGCACTGGAGAGAGTGTGAACTAAAGTCGTAAGCAAGAGAGAGAGAGAGAGAGAGAGAGGAACACCATAAGCACGAGAGAAAGCGAATATCATAAGCGAGAAAGAGAAAAGAGCGAATATTGTGTGTGTGTGTGAGAGAGGGGGGGGGGGGTTAATACACCAACACTAAAATCTCACTTAGCAGTAAAGAAATTCATGACGCACAAACACAAGGTTCCACTCACACACACACACACACACACGCACTCTCCTCCAGCCCGGCATGATAAAAACAACGAATTTACGGGATTAAACTCTGTCGCATGGTAGACGAATTGATCAAACGAGAAAGACAGATAAAAAAAATAATAAAGAGAAAGAGACTGAGGTAAATATAGACCTGATACAGAAATGGACCTGAGACAGAATTGGACCTGAGACAGAATTGGACCTGAGACAGAATTGGACCAGCCAACGAGTTTTTATCCATCTGGTCCACAGACATGGCATGACAAAATAAAAGAAATAAATTAGTTCTGGTATATATGAGTATATATTATTTTGCTTTCATTAAATATGTATACAATATTATTACAAATATTTTAAGGAATAATTTTCATGTATTATTTCTAATGTTTCGTATACTCAATCGAATGATTAGAATGATAACTATAATTACGTTTGTTTAGATTAGATCATTTCCACGAGAGGGTCACAAAGCAAGGTAAGCATGAATTTTCGTGACTGGCATTAAAGTCAACAACATTACTTTCTGAGTGCTTTTAACATAATAAAATATGCAAAACTGTATATATTATTTACTCGCTATGTTAGAGTTATTGATGGTATCCTTGCGTCTTATTGGTCATACTTTATTTAGCATCTGTTAGGAAAGAGTTTCGTGATTGGCTGTTGTTTGCTCCACCCCTCCTCCCTCCTCCCCACATGGAGACACGCTTCAGGACCACTATTGAAGGTTCTAGGTTATCATATGTAGGTTCTAGGTTAATACATGGAAGTTCTAGGTTAATACATGGAGGTTCTAGGTTAGTACATGGAGGTTCTAGGTTAGTACATGGAGGTTCTAGGTTAGTACATGGAGGTTCTAGGTTAATACATGGAGGTTCTAGGTTAGTACACGGAGGTTCTAGGTTAGTACATGGAGGTTCTAGGTTAATACATGGAAGTTCTAGGTTAATACATGGAGGTTCTAGGTTAGTACACGGAGGTTCTAGGTTAGTATATGGAGGTTCTAGATTAGGTTGTAAGTTAGTACATGGTGGTTCTAGGTTAGGTTGTAAGTTAGTACATGGTGGATCTAGGTTAGTACATGGAGGTTCTAGGTTAGCACATGGAGGTTCCAGTGATTCTTTCTTATTTCAGACGAGGATGAAGCGTATGCGGTTGACGCTGCGTAAACTGATGCTGGTGCTGGTACTGTTGACGGTGGCGGTGCTGGTGCTGAGCCTACCACTCACCACCCACTATTCCCACCTTCTACAGGTCGGGACGAACCCTCCTCCTGCTGTTGGTCAGGTTCTACTTTCCGTGAAGCAAAGTGACGAACGTGAGGACCAACCACACCGCACAGATCCTCTCGTACAGAAATTCACCAGCATAAAAAAAAACACCGTTGAAGCGACCCTCGGTAACGAGTCCAATACAAAGGATGGCATCGCCGGGGAGTCTATCGATGGCAAGAGCATCGCCAAGAACCCTGTGGCGGAAAAGGCAGCCATTTCTGAGGAAACATTAGCCAAAGAGATAAACTCCCCGAAAGGCATCCGAGTGGCCACCGCTCAGTCTAAAAATGGGTCGGCTGAAGAAAATATCAAAATAACGCTCGATGAGTACGAGACCTACCTGCAGAACCAGACCCCAGCGAACTTTGTAGAGGTGAAAAAGATCAACCCAATCTCCAAAAAGTCCACCAGACTTTCGGTAATTCGAAAAAGGCCACCGAATACGTACCGTCCTCGTTCCCTCATGACTCGTTCTCCGTCCAAGCTCACTCCAGACGTGCTCAAGAAAAGGGCTCTCACCTTCTCCAACTCTTCAGTAAGTCTGTTTTATTCTCACCTAAAAATCATTATTCAATGCTTCTGTTCCTCGTTTTTCAGTCAGATCCTTTTCTCAGATTCATGCCAATAGTTTGTCTCTTTTTTTTTAACTACTCACCAACCTCTTTCTTCACTCACACATTCCATTTCTGTGTCACTAAAACCTGTCGGTCTCTAGTCACTCTTACGAAGCCCTTCCGTCTCTCCGTGTCTTGTGTAGTTTCTGAAGTCTCCATTATTTCGCATGACCATCGTGGACATCTTTGACATTATCTTCTTATCCTTTCCTTTGTTTTACCTCTTGGTCTCCCACTCATGGTAATCTTGGCTTGGCCACCTTATTATTCTATACCCTGGCAACATATCCAGATTTTTTATGTTACCTTTACGATATTTGTTACGTTTATTGTCTTCTCTCCTGACTGCGTTGCCTTCCTCATCTGCATCATCCACAGGTCCTATAATTCTTCGTAAGACTGTAATTCCAAACATTTGAATATACCGTAGGATAAAAATTTCTTGGTGGGTGACCATAATAATAACCCTGGTGTTATAATGGTGATGTGTATTATATCTGTTTTTGCTAACAGGTATTTTTATTTGACTTTCCTTTTAAACTCCAGTATTTTCTATGGCCACTTGCAGTTTCTATACATGACTTCACGTTCTGTACTGTATCACTATCACGAGTCTCCGTTCTTCCCGTCTGTTCAATATTCATTAGTGGTGAATATTTTTGCTTCATAAATTCAGATGGTGAGAAACATGAGAGAGGTGTTGGTATTCTTGTAAACCAGAAGTTGAGTAGTAGTGTAAAGGGATATTGGGCAGTGTCAGATAGAGTTTTGCTAGTCAAGTTTAGTGCTTAACCCATGGGCTTGGTAATAATACACGTTTAATAATAATAATAATTAACGGTTTATTGAAAAAGTTCTGCAGCCCGAAGGCTGAAAATATACATTGGACATAAATGACTTATTACATACATTGGTGGTTTAACAAAAGCCTTCATTAGAGAAAGGTAAAGGAACATACAGTGAACATACAGATTAATGTAGGTGTTGAACAGCAAAAACGTAGTGTAGTAACTCCTCCCAGATGGTGTTAGGAGGGACCTCACGGGTAGTTCCTCACAGATGGTGCCTCACGTGGTAGTAATCCTCACAGATGGTGTTATGAGGGCCTCACCTCACAGATGGTGTATGAGGGGCCTCACGTGGTGTAGTAATTCCTCACAGATGGTGTTATGAGGGGCCTCACGTGGTGTAGTAATTCCTCACAGATGGTGTTGAGGGCCTGTAGTGATGGTGTCATGTTCACAGATGGTGTTATGAGGGGCCTCACGTGGTGTAGTAATTCCCTCACAGATGGTGTTATGAGGCCTCACGTGGTGTAGTAACTCCTTCACATATGGTGTTATGAGGGGCCTCACATGGTGTAGTAATTCCCTCACAGATGGTGTTATATGAGTGAGGTGTGGTTCCAGGCCTTCCTATCGTAGACGGATTAACACATCGCTGGTAGTTGGGTCTCACAGGCCGTTATCACTGGGTACCTGGGACCTCACTGTGTGAAAGGTCAACTTGGGTACCACTGTTACTGTTGAGTTGTTCTCACTGACTTAAGCACTGTTCACCACTGTTCACCTCTGTTTAACACTGGTTCCATTTCTTTCCTAAATGAAATAGTAACTTCTGGCGTGAACTTGTTGAAATTCCTGTGGGGAGGAGGGTTCAGGGGAGGGAGTTGGTATGGGCCAACATAACAGTTGACCTGGCTGCTCCGAGAGGGTAAAAATTTAGATTTTGGGGGGAATATTTGAAGAAAGCAAAAGTATCCGCGAAGTGTAATGACTGTTTGGTCATAATGGGTGATTTTAGCTCAAAATTTGGGAAAGAGAAAGCAGCACCAGACGTTGGACCACATGGGTTGGGTAATAGAAATGAGAGAATGGAAATATTCACTGACATTTGTAATGATAACAAGATAATTGAAAGTATAGCTTAAACAACAACCCAGGACAATGAAATTGTCAGAAATCAAATAAATTATATTTTAGGTCAGAAAAGATTCGGAAATTCAATCACCCGAACCAAGACCTATCTTGATACACGGAGTGTATCAGAAAGAAGAGTCTCTCTGTCTTTTCAGTCTTCATTAACTCTCTCTCTCGTTCTTAGGTTAGATTAGATTAGGTTAGGTTAGGTTAGGTTAGGTTAGGTTAGATATACGTAAAAAAATTATTCTTCACTGTAAGGCAGAATATTTGTTTTAGAAATGTGCACCTTGACAACTGCCAGCGCGCAAGGTGGGCCGTGATTGGCTATACCACTGGCGGAGTAACTGGGTGAGGGTGGTTTTGCTGAGGACAGACATTTGGAAAATATGCCCCGGACCCCCCCGACATATTAAATATCTTGGTTCCATGTCGTTTGCGAGGGAAACGTCATAGAAGAAAAGATTCTTAGAATTGTCTAAAATATAGTTTACAAAGAAAAAACCCCGAGATTTGGTTGGTGTCAACATATACAATTTGAGAAAAGGGCAGCTGAGAGGCTATACCTGTATATGGCAAAGGACTGTTCTACGAGTCGAAAGTATGGACACTTTCAGCAAACATCAAAAAGAGGTTAGAGGCTTTTGAAATGTGGCGTTATAGGCGAATGTTAAGAATAAGTTACCATGACAGGAAAACACACGAAGAAGTAGTATGGTTAGCAAAAACTTCAAGAGAAACACATAAAATGCACAGAAAAAAAATAGATTCTTTAGTCATATGATTAGGGATGAGGGGATAATAACATTAATATTAATAAGCATAGTTGAGGGTAGGAGGGCCAAGGGAAGGCAGAGACGAGGGTGGACGAATGAAATTAAAACTGGGTCCCCAGATAGATACAGAACCATAGAGGATTGCTAAAAACAGCCTGAGAACGTTTGGGGTGGAGGACTGTGGTCACCAACCCTCACATATTAGGGCGGTACTCTCATGATTGACGCTCCATTTTGATTGTGAACTAAAAACCCACTTCACTGCAGGCTGTAACAGTTTAGCAACTCGATCAGAAAAAAGAGGCTTCGAATGTTGTTTTTTAACCACGCCTAACCGACTTAATTATGTGTATACGCGATAAAAAAAGTATCTTGGTGGATGTGTCCGACAAATTTCAAAATGCACACTGCGACAACTGTTATCTGGTAGGGTTGTCAAAATCCTTCGTCTGTTATGACATATTGTCTACAATATATATATATATATATATATATATATATATATATATATATATATATATATATATATATATATATATATATATATATATATATATATATATACTTCTTTGATGGTGTACATGTTATATTTAGACATTCAAATTTTTCTCGTGATTTTTCAAAGCCCAGAGACACACTTATTAACGTCTGTTACAAACATTTTTAACATCTGCTATACACACACAAATGTAAACACTGTGTAGCACCACCTCTTGACCCCCTGACATGGACCCCTTTAACGATCTCGGAAGCAAGTATGAATTGAGGAATAATAAAGGACGAATTTAAGTTTACCCAGAGAACGACTGGGAATATTTCTTATATGTAGATGATAATTATTATTTTAATCTGGTATGTATGTTTGGTTATCAAAATATTGCTGAGAACACTGGACAGACACATTGAAACGAAAGTATAAAAATACCAAGATATTAGGTGCTCCAAATTTAAGTCAAATGTACAAGTCAGGTGGAGTAATTGTACACAGTAAAACTTTAGCACGAGCAATCAATGTCTATATTCAGCAGTACAATCCAACGCACTTAGCTGGGCGTGGCTACTGAGAGCTGTCGACTGAGGAGATGGTTTTTCTTCACGAATATAATCAAGTGAAAATGAAGAAAGCGTCTTAGTGTGACGTCGTTTATAAAAACATACATGCGTGTAAATGTTGCAATTACAAAAACTTTAATTTCTTTGCGAGTAATTTTAAATGAAATGGGAATTATATTTGAGCCAGAAAATGGTATCGTGAAAACTAGAGCACACGCTTGTATTGACCCCATGTGATTTGAACCTAATTGGAAGCCATTGTTTACAACTATGTCACTCAAGTGGTTTTTACTGCCTCACTCACGAGTGGGAGTTGGGCTATAGAAGTTTAATAAATTTAACAAAACTTACAAGCCTATTCCAGCTACCACATTCCTTTATTAACATTTGTAGATCTTTATTCTGAATCACAAACCAGAGTAATGACGTCAACAATCAGCACCTAACTCACTTTGTCTCCGCAACTTTCTTAATGCTGGCCACGAAAATATCCAATAACCACGGACACATACCGGCACTTATCACTGACGTAGTTCTACTCTCATTAGTAACCAGCTTCCATCTTCCCAACACATACCAACACTTCCTTCACTTTCCCTGTAACAGCTACTGATCAGCATTTAGTCATATCCCATCCATATTTAATATTTTCACATCACTTTTTTTGTCAACTACAGTATATTACTTGCTTTTTTCGCATCTGTGTCACAAGTCAATTCTCCCCTTTCTCAAGATAACTTTCACTCATTCGCGTGATCAAATGCTTGAGCCACACATCCTCTTACTTTCCTGATGCGGCACACTTTACCCCAACTCAATACAATATCTTCCTTGTTATATTTAGCAGTCTCACTCGGCTATAATTTTACATTCTTACTATTGTCCATTCATACGTAGGAATTATACATACTCTGACATTCTTATAGTACTCTTCCCTCTTCTATACATACTTAATACACTCGCCATCCACTACACGTCCGATACTAACAGTTCTGCGTTGATCATATTCAATCTTGGGACCTTAGTCATTTTTAATTTTCCTTAAGTTAGATATTTTTAATTCCTCTTCGTCCCAAGCAAGACATTTCTACTTCGTTTGCTTTGTTTATATAATAATAATAATAATGATAATAATAATAATAATAATATAAAACTACTACTACTACTACTACTACTACTACTAATAATAATAATAATAATAATAATAATATTACTAATAACAATAATATTAATAATAAAAATATAAGTAATAACAGCACTACAATATGATTTCAGACGTAAAATATATGAAAGTATAAATAGATGAGGAACAACTGTTTGACTGGCTTTAAATTAACTATAATGTATACCCCAAAATATTCGACAGAGAGAATTATCACCACAAAACACCAAGTGGAAGTTAAACACATTAGTGGGGTGCCGAACCATTATAAGCCAACCCCAGTCAACCAATTACAGTATATCCACACCCAAGGTCAAAGTTTTTATGTCATGGTCACTATAATAGAGGCACTCCCACAACGTGTGTACACAACAAGCAAACAAAAGAGAAATAGTTCTAATGAAAAATTGGAAAATAAAATAGAAGTGAGATAAACGAGAACGAATCCCAGAAATTTGTATACGCCATTAGTGTACGTTGTCATGTGTGCTAACCGTGTGTCGTGTTTGTTTTTAGTTCAAAGATCAACAATTTTCACCGGTAACTGACGAGTAATTTATATATTGTACAGTATATACACTATGTCAATACTGATAATAAAAACAACCATTACGATCTGTGAACTGATGGCAGTAAACAGTTAACTTTTATTTCCAGTTAAGTATTTCACGTTGATTGTACAGTATTTACTCGTTCAACTTTATGGCAACTAATTACCGCTACCCCTCGTATCTAGTAAGGTCATTATTATTTATCGTTTTAAACTCCTAATAAACAACAACAAAAAGAACCATTATTAACGCCTCTTGATTAATGTAAGCGACATCACTTGCCTTAAGGTCAAATAACACAAGGGAAGCGTTGGAGTGATGACAACCTAAAGTTAGCAGGTACAGTACGAGGCTAACATCACTTCTCTTTATACACGGATAATTGTCCTTGACCATACAATATAATAGTCTCATGGCTTTCTTGCGTGGCACATGCAACTAAAAACAATAATACAAAAGCTTCTAATCTCAATGGAAATATGAAAATACCCCGTTTTGCACTTTACTACCGCGGAAATTCATAATATATAGACAATATTTTGCATTATACAACTGCGTCATAACCTGTGACACCATCTCATTATAAATCGACATTCCATCAGATTACTTCGACAGACTTGCAGATATTACACCGACAGGTCACCAAAATACATAGTCATATTACTTTATCCAGGACAATCAGACACATACTATAATATCAACAACAGTGTCATATATTTAATCCAACAAGGTAGGTAACATAGTACCATCAAGTTGAAGGACTTGGTACATGTATACAAAATACCAATGTATGTTTCACCAGAGACTATGCCTTATACATTATACCGTCAAAATCATTGTAAATTGAGTCAAACCAAAGTGACATGTAGGCAGTACATATACGATACTGCTAGTATTTGATTATCTTCGGTGTCAACCGTAGGTATTCAAACCCATAAAGATCTCAAACACTCTTCTAGCAGTACGACATTCGGTTTTCGATAATGTTACCGTGTATATAATGTAATATTATCAGTGTTAATAATATTTGCCCTATTGACTCGCATATTTTAATAAAATGTCTGTACAGACACACTTTGTCTTACTGTTGTGAAGCGTGTCTCGAGTATTGTTTATATGATATTCCTCTTTATGAAACATTCAAATGATACTTAATTGTTTCGAGTTTTGAACTGTTCAAAATAAAATGAAAGGTAGTGGGAATAAAGTTAAAAAAGGAGTAATCACAGAATATAAAGTTACTTAACCGTATTTACTCCTGATTAAATTTTGTAATATACTTAAAAATAAAAAATAAATTCAGTTCATCTTCGATTAAAATACGAATTTCGATAGAAAAATGTGTACTGCAAATCGACTTCCGTGAGCTTACACGCTCGATATAGAGTTTGGATGACTGCAATAAAGCTAAGTGCTCAAAAGTATTGCCCATTATAAGAAAATATTTACTTGAGGAAAAAAAAAATTATATATATATATATATATATATATATATATATATATATATATATATATATATATATATATATATATATATATATATATATATATATATATATATATATATATATATATATATATATATATATATATATATATATATATATATATACATGTGTGTGTGTGTGTGTCCAGGTGTTCAGGGAACTCTACCACTTTATCACCACATCTATTTTGCACTACATCAAGTAAGTTAATGGTCATTAACACATCCTTCACTCAACTAATATTAAATCGCCAGTTTGATTATTACTTTTGATTTATGGAAAATTAACAAGACCACGAGACAATATTGAGTGGTAAACATTAATTATATTTGACATACCTGATTACTGGCAAAAAAATCTTTATTGTTAAACTTCAATAAATCTTCATCTATTATCTTTGGTAATTACTCTGTACAAATTTTCAGAATAACAATAATCTTAAAAAACTTGATCAATGTTTACATATAATTTAAACTGAACTACAATTAGTTTCATAAATTCATTAATAATATTAGCAGCTTTAGGCAAACTAAGTTAGCGTATCAAGGTTGTGTCAGGTTGTTAGGTAGTGTTAGGTTGTTTGGCGCATCCAGATTCACTAAATTCTCAGAATTCCTCTACAGTATAATCCATTTAAGATTCCGAATCTGTTTGCATTAATGATGTATATCTATGAAGCATTCATAAAATGTATACACATGTTATTATCCAGTAAAACGGTTATCTTTACACACACACACACACACACACACACACACACACACACACACACACACACACTTGTAATATTTTTCAGTGTAATGAACCCAGACGATTTTATTCAGCTGAGAGAAAGTCCTGCCCTATGAATGGTTAATTTATTTGTTTCATATTCTGCAACAGCAAGTAATATTAAGGAGTCATGGGACTCTGCCTTCTTCCTTGTCTTATTCTTAAATGGGTTTTATCTTCCTCCAATAACTAATCCATTCAAGGATGTTCTCTCTCCTTCCTCATATGAGGATCTCCTCCCTCCTCTTCCTACAGGACTTAAGAAAGTTCTTGGCGGAGCAAGAGCGACGCACCCGACACGTGACTAAGACCTGCCGAGAATATAAAGTCCCAGCGACCGTCCCCAGGAGCCGCGCCTTCGCCCCTCCCTCAGGATTACTCTCCTCCAAGGACATCGTATTTGACAGGTAAACTCCTACCGAACAACTGGATAAACACAAGTAATGCACTATCCTCCCAACATTTTGCCTGTTTTCCTGGCCGCTGGCCAGCAGGATTTCGCCTGTTGCGAGAAATGGACAACGGTTTGGCGGCGAGTTCAAATGAGCTTCATATTAGGTGTTAAATATTCAAGTAAAATTTGAAATAAATCATGAAACAATAACAATTTAAAAAAAAATAACAAAAAACGGTGACATGTTTCTATTTATTCGTCACTCTAAAACTTCTTTAATATTATTAAATCATTATTCAGGGTCTCCTTTGACCAGCCAGCCGCCGCCACTTGTAAACAAACTTCACGACGTGACGACACACCCATTGTCTTTTCTTTAGCTTTTGCAGACGCTTCACTTGCTTCAGCAATTGAAGAATTATAGCACTATCCTGCAAGGCCTCAACTGTAGTAACGGGATCCATGGCGAAACTCATCTCGATGCTATGTTGTGGTTTTCGTTGCGTTGGGTAGACGCGCCAACAAAACATCCCAATGTGATGCAAACGTCTCTTTTTGCTGGCCTGACCGTGTTTGTCCAACATGTTGTGAGGAAAAGTGCCCATTGTGCCGCCTCCTCAACTCTCAGGGTAGTGTTACGAGTTGGGGATTTAGAATATAGTTAAAAGTCTACCCAGATCCCAACAGGCAACAACAATAAAAAAAGCAGACAATCGGACTATAAAAGGGTAGACAAAGGATGCGAGTTTTTGTTGTGTATAATAAAGTACCATAAATTCCTTAACAAAATATTCAGCTTTCTATAATTTACCCTTAACCATACTTAACCTAAACATACGCAACATTGACTTAACAGTATATACATATTTATACAACATACAACAAACAGAAGCAAGTGGAGGTGGGAGGCAATATAAGATTACAAAATACTCAAGTGCAGTGCTGAGATGGCTGACGAGTAAGGCTGAGTATTGAAGAAGATAGTAGGTAGTCACTGTGCTGTAGGTTTCCAGGATAGGTGATCCTAGTGTGGTCACTTCCCAGAGTGAACTGAACGCTCCTCGATCTGGAGCTGATGAGGAAGACTTGGAGGAGGTGACCAACAACCAGGATATGGAGAAGGGAAACCCCGGAGTGGTGACTAAGACTAGTCATACTCGGGTTTCGTCCCTAGATGGCGTTGCTCGTGGTGCTGGGCAGGTAGATCATGACAATAGATGGTGTGGTTCGTAGTGCTGGGTAGGTAGATCATGACAATTGATGGCGTGGTTCGTAACAGTAGACTATGTAAACTTATAGTATGTGCATAAATTCCTCCACATAAACTTGACAATTTACTAAAATATGAAAAATGCAAATTTTATCACATCATATAACGAAAAAACAGCAACTTTTTTTTAAACGTGAAGTTGCCTTAATAAATAACAAAAGAGGTTTGAATTTCTTAAGTTTAAATTGGTGATGACTAATAACTAATGTCACCAAAACAACCTACAACTAATGAAACAATAAAAAAAAATAACCACAATATTCTTGATATTTAAAACATCTAAACCTAATGTGATGACAGTCGTGTTCCGCTCCCCATGTTAGCTATATACATAAAACAATAATTTATAACATTTTTATTGACTCTGTGCTTAGATATGGTCAACTGAGTGTAGTCGAGTCAAATAAGGCTCTATTATTAGGTTCGTAAGTATATAATTATATGCTGTGTCACAGAGTAGCTTACACACAAGAGAGACTGTGTGTTGTTTTAATCTTCACATGCGCAGCTCTTTACAAAGGTCATATTAAAGGCACAATGGCACCACACAAGCAGAAACTGACAGTAGCAAGCGTGAGTATACGTACTATCGTGGACAAAAGTTCGCTCTTTCCCAAACTGAAGCAGTATCGACCCACACAGCACACCCGCACCAGATAACAATCAGGGTAAGTCAGTTCGGAGACTCATTCCCGTGTCTCAGTTTCACTACAGGGAGCGAACTTTTGTCCACGATAGTACAGTATATACAGGCGAGAGCGTTGGGTTATCTTTATTGCCAACAGCAAGTCATCATAGTTTACCTTGTCACACACATCTACAAACACTTACACTGAAACTAACACATTGTTTTATGCTATTAACTTTTTTCAGTCATCGTTTGTAGATTTGTCATCAGTATATATATATATATACATATATATATATATATATATATATATATATATATATATATATATATATATATATATATATATATATATATATATATATATATATATATATATATATACAACGACCTCACCAGCCAGGAATCGAACCCTCGACCTACTGGGTCGGGCAGTTCCCAATGAGGTTCACGGCGCCATCAGCTCGATGAACAGGCTTTGTGTGAAATATAACAGAGTCTAGGACTGCTTTTAGTGTCCTTGTGGTCGGTAAGCGTTCCCTAGTCCCACCCAGTAGGTCGAGGGTTCGATTCCTGGCTGGTGAGGTCGTTGATTATATGTTCAAAGTCCGCGTGTTATATGGACTAAAAATGAAGTATATATATATATATATATATATATATATATATATATATATATATATATATATATATATGTGTGTGTGTGTGTGTGTGTGGCCTTGAGTCCAAAGTGGCTTTGTTCCAATATTATTAATACATTTTGCCTGATTTGTGAACTAAATGTACGGTACTTACAGACTTCAGTCGTTGAACCACACAAATGTATACTATTAACAACAGCTGATTGATAATATCTATAATGTATTAAAAACGTCTAGTATTAAAAATGAACGGCGTTTAAAGATCCTGACTCATTAAGTGTTTAATAGCTAATTGGTAGTAGGCAGCTATCAAACAGGGAGGTACAGTTGCGGAAATGTGTTCCTACACCACTTGTGGTAACCAGTGTCTCCAAACGGCCAACGTATTTGACCTATAGCAAACCTATCCACCAATCACGTCCGTCGTTACACGACCAATACCCATTCATTCATAAATAGTGATACTACTACTACTACGACGGTACCGTGTAGGAAGAATAAAAGATGAGAGGGATCTTCGACTACTTGTAACTTCTTGTTGTGACCTACCAGCTCCACTAAGAACCTGGCAGGCCTCTCCATACAGTGTACTTTAGACTAACACAACTAACATATAACTAACACCTTAGCAAAAAAAATCATAAAAAAATAAAATATAAATAAAATGACTACCCTCACAGCCACACAGGACCTGGGAGGGATCACTAACTCCGCAGTAAAAAAAAAAAAAATCAGTATAATAAGCAGCACTATATAAATAAACCAATATTAATTCAAAGTTCTGACGACCCAAGGGAGCAGAACAAAGAAAAAACACCAATAGGAAAGAAGAAGCGATCTGCTTGAGCCCAGATTCTTTCTACTCCTACTGTATTGCAGTTTCACCACTTTTTCTTCAACTCCTAATAATCTTCTTTCACCTCATAAATCATGACTCCAAAGCCAAGTAGGATCACATTTCCGCAACTTTACCTCCTTGTTTGATAGCTGCCTAATACCAATTAGCTATTAAACACTTAATGAGTCAGGGTCTCTAAGCGCCGTTCATTTTTAACACTACAAGTAGACGTCTTCCGCCTGGGAAGATATAGGAAGCATAATGTGTTGTCTTATGGTAGACCCTGCCGACATATGGCATCACAAAAATTGTGACCAAGTACCAGGTCGCTGATATGGCTGACTTTCTTTCTGCCTCATTTACACACAATTGCAGGGTCTCAATTGTTTCTCTTGCTCTACAACACAACACAACACAATATATATATATATATATATATATATATATATATATATATATATATATATATAATATATATATATATATATATATATATATATATATATATATATATATATATATATATATATATATATATATATATATATATATATATATATATATATATATATATATATATATATATATATATATATATATATATATATAAAACAGGGAGATGAGTGTATAGTGCGGTATTGGGATACAGTACATAAGAACGGAGGAAACTGCAGCGGGCCTATTGGGCCATACTGGGCAGTCCCATTTACACCCAACCCCTATCGCTCATATTTCTACCCAACCTATGTTTGAAGCTATCCAGCGTATTCGAGTTAATGATGATGTTTGGTAACTTGTTCCACTCATCCACTGCTCTATTTCCAAACTAATGTTTACCAATCTCGCGCCTAAATCTAAATTTTTCTAATTTAAAACCATTGTTCTAGTTCGCTCCTGGTTGGATAGTTTGAGTACCTTTGTAATGTCCCATTTGTTTAGCCCTGACTTCCATTTATACACCTCGATCATATCCCTCTACGTCTCTCGAGGGAGTGCAGATTAAGATGCTTTAACCTGTCTCAGTACTCAAGGTTCCTAATGCCCGGGATTAGTCTTGTCATCCTCCTCTGAATTCTTTCTAGGGATTCTATATCCATTCTGTAGTACAGTACAGTGACCAGAAATGAACTGCGTAATCCAAGTGAGGTCTCACTCCTTTGTATGAACCCAAGTACTTTGTTTGCCTAGGCTTCCTTTTCACAGCCTCTCTACTCATTCTAACAGACTTTAAGAACGATGTTAACTGAACTTATTTTCTAATTTATTGTTATGTAGCCTCACTCAACACAAACCAACAATCCGATGAACGACTTTAGTAGCGAGTGTTGTTTATTGTCTTCCTGTACGGCTGTTGGTTCAAAATAGTTATTGATTCGCTAGACATAATATTGATATGAGAGAAATGGTGAAAATATTTGGTTAGTTCTAAAAAAAAATTCATGCCCGGATCTTCCCTTAATAAGTTCTTAAAACCTGAATTAAATTTTTAGTTTAGCATATAATATTTTTCCGATTGAGGGATATATTCTTTAACTCGTTTCATTATACAAATACTTTCCGGACGGACGACCGTCAGCCTGCCACACTAACACAGCTTGTGACCACTTCCTGGTCATCCTTGTTTACCTTACTACGAGTTTCATGCGTCGCTAAAGACCTGCCTTTTTGTTCATTCTTGACTGCAATAACCTTACACCATCTACGCAGTATACTTGATAAACGATCTAAAATTTAGTTTACTACCCAGTTCTTGATCGTATATTCTATCCCCAGCTGCTCCACCTACAAGACAAACTACCTGTCGTACCATTTGACAATTCCCCATCTATAACCTGTGCCCCAACTGTGCCTCGTACAGGACAAACCATCTACCGAACAATTTTTAACATGCTGAAACACTATCACAGTTCTTGACTATATTCGACATTATCCCCTGCTACGCCTCTTACAGGACGAATCACCTGTTGTTCTGCCCGGTGTTCAAGGCAGCCAGCACCTCTTGGTCCATCACCCTGCTGGAGATGGGAGGTTTCTGGAACAACGTCACTAAGAAGAATGCACTTCAGAATATATTACATGAAGTCTATCCTAGAATAAACAACATGGCGGCAGCTTCGGTTAGTAAGCTTTACTTGTGTGTTTAGGTTAGCTTGGGTTAGGTTACCTTAGGTTACCATAGGTTAGGTTAAGTTACCTTAGCTTAGGTTAATAAGAAGTCATAGGTAATATTAGATATGGTTAGGCTTAATCAAGTATTTTTTTAGTCTTTTATTGATATGATTTATCATTATTATCCTTATAATTATCATCATATTACTAATATTAGTATTTTTATCATTACTGTAGTTAGTACTTGTACAGTTCTGGGAAAAATAATTGGACTGGGGGAGGCAGGTGGAATAATATACCAACGTGGCGGTGAAAAGTCTGCGGTTTTATTTTCATGTCACAAAAAATTATACTTATTTTTTATTTTATTTTTTTATTTTTTTCAGGCAGCACCTTTGATGAAAATAATTTCACGTAAAGTTGAGAGTAACCAGTAGGTGGTTACGTTTCATTTCTGGCTTTATCATACACCCAGACCACTGTAAGAACTTTTAATCCCTTCAGAATTAAAATTAATATAATTTTGTATAGAATTGGTGTGAGAAAAATTCGAATCTATTCAACTTGTATGCCCAGGAACTGAGAGGCTTATGTACAAAGGTAACCTTACATAACATCAGGTCAAGTAAAAAACATGGGATCCACTAATCCACACACCATCTCCACTACACACTAAAGAAGAGCTTATAAAAATGGGCGACGTAACTAGTCATGTCAAGTTAGGTAAAAAATATGAGACCCACTAATCATCTAATTTATTCTACCCTACATCTACCCCAAATGCTTTCAAAGCATTTTTAACCTTGGGCCACTGACAAATAAATTTATGTATCATATCAGTTTTGTACTGACCATCACTAAGATTTATAGAATTAATTTCCCTAATCAAACTTGCTTCAACCAGAAGTCTTTCTGTGACACATGTTGCTTTATACACTTCTGTACTGTTTTTCTAATCTATGGGATGATTAATTATTGTTCCTTATATGAACGAAAAGTGCACTGCTTTCAGATGCTGTTCTAATATTATACTTGTGCTGTTTTATTCTAAGTTGTAATACTTTCCTAGTCTGACCTACCTAGTTTCCATTACAATTACTACAGGGAATGCAGTAAACACTTCCATTTACAGTCAAGGTTGGGCTGTTCTTAATTAACATACTGTACTAGTAATAGTTGAGTCATACTTAAAAACAACATTAATGTTCAGTAATTTAATGGATTAAACTAACGGGACAAATTCCTTGCGATAACTTTATCTTGCGCTAGTCAGGCCGCACCTCGATTATGCGGTTCAGTTCTGGTGCCCTTCTTATAGAATGTTTATCAATTCACTGGAATCGGTGCAGCGAAGAATGACGAAAATGATTCCGGGACTTAGAAACCTTCCATATCAAGATAGATTAAAGAAACTAAACTTTCATTCTCTAGAAAGACGAAGAGTGCAGGGAGATATGATAGAAGTATTTAAGTGGGTGAAAGGAATCAAAAAATGGGATATAGATAAAGTTCTTATAATATCCGAGCAGGATAGGACTCTTAGCAACTGATTTAAGTTGGATAAGTTTAGGTTTAGGAGGGAGATAGGAAGGAACTGGCTCACAAATAGGGAAAGTTTTAAAAGGAGGCTAGATAGATTCATGGATGATAGAGAGTGGTAGTAACTCTAGACAGGAGCTGCCATGCACAGGCCAGCCGGCCTATTATGTTCTTATGTAGAGTCAAAATACTCTTAAATGTAGGAACTTGTTTAGTATGAGTACAATAAAGGGATTTGTTAGTCCCTTTAAAACAACGGTCAACAAACAATGAAGGGTAGCCAAATTTTTGTGCAATGAACTGAATTTGTTGCAGTTCTTCAATAAATTTTGGGCCACAAATTCGCAAACAGCTCAAAAACACAGCAGAAAAAAATGGCGTTTTGGTAGATTCATGGTGACTCGATAAAAAATGTATGAAAATGTCTAACTCTGTATGCTTTCTGTGCACCTTAAGTTTATAGTTGTGACCATTTCTTAAGATAAGCATATCAAGAAATGGAAGGGCTCCATCTATTTATCTTTCAATTTTGAAGGTAATACTAGGAACAAGATCATTAAGCCTGTCCAAAAATTCCATTGGGTCACTGTTTCTAGGCCATAGACAAAGAACATCCTCTACATATCTATACCATGGAGGAATAAAGTCTCCTATGTTGGGTAGTAATCTAGCCTCCCAAAAGTTGGGAATGCTGTACAGATGCCGTAGCTACTTCACTCCTGAGCAGTTTTTTTTTTTTTACGGGAATTAGCCCACCCGGGCACAGGTCAAATGACCCACAACGGAGCCTGGGGGGCGAAAAAAAAAAGAACGGAAAGAAATTGTAAATATGGAAAAAAAGGTTATACTGTATTAAACTACACCACGAAGATGCCGGAAAACCAGCTTTTTAAATTAAGACAGATTGTAAGAGCATGGAAACACAGAAGAAGGCAGAGCATTCCACAGTTTGGCTGTGTGAGGAAAGAAGGAGGTACTATAACGGGTTATTCTCGTGTGACCGACATCCACGGAGAAACGGTGGGCACCGCGGGCAAGACGTGTGTTACGAACCCACGGCCTTGCCGGCGGTACACAGGATGCCAAATCCACGGAACATTGCCCGTTAAAGTACCTGTAAAAGAGAGAGAGTGAAGCAACATTGCGGCGAAGAGAAAGGGAAGAGAGATTGTCGACTAAAGGAGGAGAGTTAATAAGACGAAATGCCTTTGATTCCACCCTATCTAATAGTTGGACAGAAGAAGAGCCACCCCAGATATGAGAGCAGTACTCCAAGTTAGGGGGGGGGGGTATTGGGGATTACTGGCCACTGCGCCGTTAGGCTATTTCGGCCGAAGCTGATTGGTTGGACTTTTTCCTTTTCTTGTTTCTTCTTTTGCTTTTCAATTTCCATTCTTCTTCCTGGTCTTCTTCTGGAATATTCTCATACACTTCTATAAACGGCGTTAAAGATAGTGTAATGAAATCGGGTTCAATTTTGGCTTCTTCTTTTTCGGTGGTCTTCTTGGGGTCTTGATTTTTGCTTGTTGTGGTCTTGTTCTGGTCTTGATTGGTCTTTTCATCATTTTTCACTACAAGGAGAGCCTCCTTGTAGCTCAGTCTTTCCTTAGTCCGCAGCTTGGCCACCCTGCACTCCTCCCTCCACTTGGGACACTCCCGGTCGGAGGAGGAGTGAGGGCCACCACAAGCTGCGCACTTCTTGGCGGCCGCCGAGCAGTTGGTGTCCTGGTGCCCGGGTGTCCCGCAGCTGGAACACACCTCCCGAGCACGACACTTCCGCGCCAGATGGCCGTACCTCTGGCATTTGTAGCAACGAGTAGGTCTTCGTTGATACGGTCTTACTGGGATCTTCTCCCATCCCAGTAAGACGGTGCTAGGTAATTTCTTTGGGAAGCCAACCAGGGCAGCTGTACTGGTCAGCTTCCGAACTATTGAGAGCTGGTCTCCGATCAGCTCGGCCAGTTCTTCTTTTTCCAGATGTTCGATTTCTGTGTGAGAGATGACTCCCAAAACCAAGTTGTCTTCTATGCAGGCTTCAACTTGGATCTGGATCCCATTGATTTGTCTTATGCTTTCTAATTGCTGGGCCTCTCCCCATTCCGCGAAGGTGACGATAAGGTCACCCCTGTCACTGCGGACGACCCCTGTCACCCCCGTGATTCCCGAGGAGTCAAAAAACTTTCTCAGGACAAGGAGGTTGAGTTGCTTGCGCAAAGGGCGCTTGACTGGATACAGTCTAACGACCTTCGCCTGGTTGCAGGTGAACATGGTCACGTGGTACCTCGGGAGCAGAGAGAACCTACCTCGCCGAGGTTCAGTTCTCGATGACAAGTTAGGACGAATGAATCCCTTATATACTTGGAGCAACTGCTCAGGAGTGCTCCAAGTATATAAGGGATTCATTCATTCGTCCTAACTTGGAGTACTGCATCCTAACCAACCACTTGGATAATTTGTAAGTAACAGAACTCACGATAGGAGGTAATGAATTATTATTAGGCTGTTCCTGTGTGGTTTAATAGAGAGTTATCTCGTCCACGTATCCATTGTGATTCTACATGAAATATATATATATATATATATATATATATATATATATATATATATATATATATATATATATATATATATATATATATACATATATATA